ACTGGTGGCCAACCACCAGAGCCCTGTACATGTGGCATCCAAACTCAGGTGACATGTCATGAGTTTTCAACGACTACTATTTTTTATGTATTAACTACTTTTTTTTAACTATTTACTACATTTGTTTTTAGAATTTCGATAACTATTCTTGTGTAGCTATTGACTACTTTTATTTTTAAAATTTTTATGACCATTTTTGTTTAACAATTGACTAATTTAATTTTATTGTTGATTACTATTGCTTCAAAAATTTTAAAAATATATTAAGTGTTGTTAGAGATCTAGTGACTAATTTTTGTTTAGTTATTTACTATTCTTGTGTAGTCAATATTATATAAAAATAGTCATCAAAACTTTGAAAAAAAAATAGTCAATAGTTATATGAAAGTAGTCATTAAAAATAAAGACAGTATTGTCATTTCATAATATTTTAAAATTCTAAAATAGTATAAAGTGTCTAATTTGGATTTTGAAATTCACCTACTTTATTTATCTTTTAGTATTTTTAGGATATTTTAATATTTTTTTAAAAATCTAACTTTACATATAACAATAAAAAAGGCAAAAAAAAAAAAAAACCCAATGGATTAGTACTTAGCATCTTCCGAGAATCCAACAGGCACCGACGTTGTTAAGCTGTCGCTAAATCACGGGGGGCCCCTTTCCGCTGTTTGCCATCTTACCCCCGGTGTATCTTCTGTGGTGATTGATCTAACGTCTGTGACGCGCGCTACACTGATGATTTTCTTTTGTCATAACAATATTTTGGCAAAGATCTTTGATAGAATATTTTAGCGAAGATCTAGACGGAGGGAAGTAGAAGTAAATTAGATGAATCCACATTATTCGGTTTCTAAATTTTTTAATATAGCTTTTATATAAATTAATTAATATACACTGTCCCTCATAAAACCATCTTAATTTATTCCACCAATAAATTTTTTAAATAAAAAAAAAGAGAAAATCCTTTGTTAATGGAAACTGCTAAAAAAGAAAAAAGAAATAAGAAAAACGCAAACGCGGAAAACCCAAAATAAAAAAAAAGAAAAAGAAAATGGAAGACGGCGTCGGTATGCGACTTTCTATGGGGGATAGCGGACACAGAAGAAGGCGAGCGCAAAACCATTGGCGCCCAACTCTCTTGCGCCTCAGAACAATTTTCTTTTCTCGTCCATCAAAGACTCTTCTTCCCCAATTGTTTCCTTCTTCTCTATAAATAAATGGCCATCTCTGTTAATGCTCTCTTGATTCCAACCGAACCAAAATGGCCAGGCTTCATCTTTTGCACTCCCCTCTATCTCCCACCAAATTCGTCTTCTTGATATGGTGCGGCGCCATTCTGGGTGCCACTCTCGTTGCATCTTTCTTCTGGGCCTCATTCTCTTCTGTGTATATCCCAATTTCATCCAACTGGGTCATTGGACGCCCTGCCCATCTAGTTGTTCCCAATGCCTCTTCTATCCCACCTCCCAAGGTAAGCCGCGTTCTGAAATTGGATTTGTTTTCCCTCTACCCCTGAGACTTCGAATTTAAGCTTCTGTTTTACGTTGATGAGCAAGAAAATGAAACGAATATAGAGAGAGTAACGCCCAAGTCTTACTACATTGTGGTCGAAGTGCCATATCAGTTACTACATTGGATAGGCGCATGCAGCAACATTAGCAATCAATCAATCTTTAGTTGAGATTTCCGTTCTGTATCCTTAATTTCTTTCAAAATTATATGCCCTTATTGACTCTACATATATTTATATATAGAGGGCGCAAGGTCATGATTCTCACTCCCTCAGGAATCCCACTTCCATTTAATCCCCTCCCTGAACTAATGAGCATAATGAGCATTTTAACTTTTTTCGTTAGTCATGTGCGATGTTATGATTTTACAGGGAGAAGATACTATCACCGCGAGGAAGCTTGGTTCTGAGAAATCTCTACCACCAACTTTTGCCGATTTACCGGCACCTGATTTGCTCTGGGAGAAAATGCCACCAGCACCAGTACCTAGGTTGGATGGAGCATCTATAGTGATTGATGATCTTTTCTACGTATTTGCAGGATATGGCTCGCTTGATTATGTGAGATTTTCTTCCGTTTCTGATATTTTTGGCTTACTTGATGCATTACATTTCAACTGTATTGCCATATAATATCACTGGCAATTTAGATCCCCTTTTATCCATGACTTTGATATTGTATTTTTTTTTTTTCCAGTATTTGTTCCTGCTCGATTGATAGAAGAATCTACTTGAATTGAATGCATGTTTTGATTTGTTACAGAGTCAATTGAGTTTGTTTTCTTGTGAGTTTTAATTGCTCGCTCCCTTTAAAATTTGATGTATATATAAAATATTCTGTGAGCTAATAAACCTTCGCTTCTTGGATACCTGGGCGTTAACTTAGATGATTTAAGTTCAATAATCCTGATGGATCCTTTGGGGCCTATGTTTGTCTTCCAGGTGCACTCTCACGTTGACGTCTACAATTTCAGCACTGACACATGGGTAGATAGGTTTGACATGCCAAAAGATATGGCTCATTCTCATTTGGGAGTGGTAACTGATGGGAGGTACATATATGTGGTATCAGGACAATATGGTCCCCAGTGCAGACCTCCTACTTCTCGTTCCTTTGTGTTAGATACCCAAACAAAGACGTGGAAAAGTTTGCCACCATTGCCAGCTCCGAGGTTTGTTTTGCCTAGTAAATATGCTTGAAATATCCAACTGCAGATGTTTAACTTGCTCTTGATCAATATGTATTGCATTTTAGACTTTTTATCTTTCCACATGTGTATATGTATATGGGTATAACTATGTTCCGGTATGCTACTGCCTATTCACTTCATGATAGTTGGATATAACATGCTGCTGCAAACTGTGTATTTATCCAAGCTAGAAAAAGCAGCAGATTAATCTGAAGCTAAATTTATCAATAACTTTATTAACTTAGCATGTCAAAGATGAATTATAACACAAATTTTACAGGTATTCTCCTTGTACTCAATTATGGAGAGGAAGACTCCATGCCATGGGTGGCGGCAAAGAGAACCGCCATACACCTGCATTGGAGCATTGGAGCCTTGCTGTAAAGGATGGTGAAGCTTTGGAGAAAGAATGGCGGTCTGAAATTCCTATTCCACGCGGTGGACCACATAGGTTTGAGGACTAATCAGATTCTAACAGTAAACTTGGACTGTGTTCCTTTTCAATATGAAAACTTGAAATTCTGTTCTTGTCTAATTTAGGAAAAATGATTTTCATGCAATAAGACATGCGGATTTTCTTTTGAGATCCATTTATCAGGAAAGCCAAAACCTCTGTGGTCAATGGTCAACTGTGTGTGTCATATTTGAAGAATAGTGCCATATCTTTCTGTGCCTTCTGAAGGAGGTTGTATGACTGACTCTCATATGTATACCATTTTTCTGGCAGGGCTTGCGTTGTGGTCAATGATCGACTATTTGCAATAGGTGGGCAAGAGGGTGATTTTATGGCCAAACCCAATTCACCTATATTCAAGTGCTCCCGCCGGCATGAGGTATCAACAGCTTTTTTGTTGGCCCCAGAGCGAATTGAATCATTATGGCTTGATGTGGTCATCAGTTATACTTCGATAGTTAAACTAAGTTTGGACATTTGGTATGTGAGTTGTTTTATATCGTATTATAAATAGTCTCTTACACTACTTCTATGTGCCTAATATTTTCAGGTGGTCTATGCTGATGTTTATATGCTGGATGAAGAGATGAAATGGAAAACTTTACCACCTATGCCAAAACCAAACTCCCACATTGAGTGTTCGTGGGTAGTTGTCGACAATTCAATTGTTATCACTGGGGGTACAACAGAAAAGCACCCAGTCACAAAAAGGATGATCCTGGTCGGAGAGGTCTTCCGCTTTAATTTAGACACGATGGTATTATGCATATCTTTTTACTAGTGGTTTTATACCCGATGGCTGGTTTTTGTTATTTCTTTCCGTTCTTTGTGGGTTTAATTTGAAATTTATTTCCCCTCATTTACTAATGATGCAGACATGGACAGTGATCGGAAAGCTTCCTTTCCGTGTGAAAACCACCTTAACTGGTTTTTATAATGGATGGTTGTACTTTACGTCAGGACAGAGGGACAGAGGACCAGATAATCCACAGCCAAGGGAAGTAATTTCAGAGTTGTGGAGAACCAAATTAAGCATTTTAATGTAGCTCAAGGCATAAACATGCTTCAGCATGTCGAGCTTTCCCATTTTTGATTCAAGTTTGTTGCCTTCGGTCGATCAAATTATTTTTCCTCTTTTCAATATAGCTTGAATACCCCAATTTGAGTAGGAATTCCATAATTTTGTTCATTATAATGTACAGAAATTTATAAATAGGGAGACATGTAGTCAGTTGCATTTTTTTTGCCTATTGTTTATGGGATAAAGTTGCAGTTCCCCTTTCTTACAAATGAATCTGTGTCAATGTGTCCGTTTTGGTTCAAAAGTGTCAATGTGATCTAGTGACACTAATGGTATCGTCTCCCGGCCTCCATAGACTGTCCTGGTCCTTACTCATGAACGCCTCGCAGTTCATTTAATTACTTTTGACGCTCCCAGAAATGCATGAAGATTGGGATTTGATCATGGAAATCAGTGGGATTGGCGCGCACGGAAATCCAATTTATGGATAGAGATCAAAACGATGATGGAGCTGACGGGCTACAGCTGTTGGGACCTGATGCCTGCTTGAGTCCTGGAACCTTGCTTCAGGGGCTTCGGAATCTTTCCTGGCTATTTTTCGTTTTCCATATAAAAAAAAAAGGTAAAAATAAATGCACATGTGCCTGCACTAGGGTAGCAATGTAAATGCAGATTAGCTCGTGACAAGTTATGATTAAGTGAAATGGGTTAAAAAGACCCTATGTGATGACGAGTTAGTTTTTAGTCAATCTTAACCCGTTATTATAGGTTAACGGTTGACTCACCAACTATTATTATTTTTTTAAATTTTTTAAAAAATTTTTAAAATTTTTTTCTTATACAACATAAAAAATATAATGAAATTTTTATCTTTTTTTTAAATACTTAATTAAAAACACCAAATAAATAAATGATATAGGTTTTTTTAATTTTTTAGATAAAACAAAATATAATAATATACATATAATAATTAATAAAATTTAAAAAAAAAAAAAAAACACATTGTGGGTTGCATGGGGTTGAAAAACTTTGTTTTCTAACAGTAAGAGTTTTAATCAACTCTAACCTGTCATTTTTAGTTCAATCTTTCAAATGTATTCAAGAAACTTGAAAAAAAAAAAACCATCTTTCACGGTTCAAATTTGAAAAAAAAAAATAGTGATTACTTTTTCCCCCCCAAAAGCTACAATTTAATACATAAAATTAAACCAAATAATAGAATAAAAACTCATTTTGCAAACACTTTTTTATATTTCAAAACAAAAATAATAAAATGCGAATATTATTATATAGAAATGACTAAAACATAATAGTTAACACCCTTCTATTCTCATTCAATTAACTTCTAATCCTTAAATTTTACACAAGACTTCAATTTAATTTTTAGTCCTTTACTCTTAAAATCCGTTAAAAAAAAAATAATATTGAGATCTCAAATTAATAAGACATTATCAAATACTAATATATTAAGTTTAATTTTGAAAACAACAAAAAATTATCATTTAATATTAATGACTTCAAGATTATAGGACTAAAAATATGCCTTTTAAAATTAATAAACCAAACTGAAACCTTGTATAAAGATAAAAGACTAAATATATCTTTTAGCTTCAAAAAAAAAGAAAAAACATCTTCCATCTACCCCACCAAACGGAGCCTAGGACCCAACTTCAGGTGTTGGGACCAGATAGATTGAGACGGGCTAAAACCAAGAAACTGTCAGAAAACATATACACAATTGAATCATAGGACTTCTTGAAAATGGGTTCCATTTACAAAGCATGATTTTACCGTACATACAGCCAACCTCAGAATATCTGTGCAAACCCTCGATGAAGACAATTAAATCTTTGCTGGACTGGCATACTCCTTTGTTATCAGACTTCAGCAACACCCAAAGTGAAGGAAGAGCAAAGCAAAAACGCTCGGTTTGAGTTGCTTGTAAAACAGACACGAACCATCATCTATATAGCCAGCTTGAAGTCTTGCTTCGTTATCTCTAGGTGTCTACTCATATACCTGAAATGAGATATAATTATGTTAAATCCAGCACAAGAGGCCCCATCATCAGAGTAGAAATCAGCATCTCTTCGTCTCTTAAGCCATCGTTCAAATAAATGACTGGTGGTATCCTACGGCCCCAACATAGTATTTTCAGTCTCTATTTTATGCATAAGCCTTTTGAGCGTTAAACTTCACGGCCTCTGTCAATAATGGTGCCGAAACGCATTATGCATAAGCATCTACTTGAGCAGTGTGAAAAATGTAGAGACAGGGACACTGACTAGAATCCAGATAATGCTGATCAAAAGAGGACAGTAATTTCCTCTCACTAGTCGCCCGCATAATTCTTAAGTTGCTTTCTTGATCACCATCATTGTTTTCTTTTTCTTGTGTTTTGTTTTCCACTGATGCACCTGGGTTAGGCCTCCCTCACACTTCGTTGGAAGTAAACTCAGGGCTTAGAAAAGAAAAAAAGCAAATGCCGCTTTGGCTGTTCCCAAATGAACAGATAATTATTACCCAAAAAAAAAAAAACAAAAAGAACAAATAATACAATAAGCTTTTGTCTCTTTCCACCTGAAGCATTACCACTGGATCTATTGATTTACTTTGGAATAAGTAGGATAGGATAAAGCGACTTAGTTTTAAATTTATTAACTTCTATATGGAGTTCTATGATTTTTTTGGGACCAAAAGGAGTTCTATGATTGAACACGTTAGATTTATATTAACCAGATTTCCATCTAATATGATGGTTACAAATTCCATCACTATCATGAAACTTCTATTGTACTGACCTGGTTCATGTAGTTCATTTTGTAAAGATGTATCCAATCCATCACAGAGGTCCAAGACTTCAACACAGGAGATTCATGAATTTCTGCAGAAAGTTTATCTGAATCAATACAAATGTGATGAGGATTTTAACAATCAAAATGCATATGCATGTAGAAATGACCCGAGAGAGGTGGACCTTTTAATTCAATGAAGGCGCATAGGGAGCAGGGCATGGAGATATGCTATCATCAGGTAGTTGGTTAATCAAATCAACAGTTGCCTGCAAACACGCGTGGAGAATTTTCTTTTCCAGCCTAACCAGTTGTGCAGCAACTCGCTTTTTGGGATTTAAAGAACCATCTGCCAACTAATATAATATACAGATTATCAATAAAAGGTTGCCAAGTCATATTCTAATGCACCCAACTTGGTATTTTGACAAATCAGTACCAAAGACTCATCCTCAGCCAAGGTGGTGGGGTAGCCAGCCAGCCGAGCCTCAAAATAACCAACAAGCTGGTCCAGCACAGCCCGTTCCATACAAGGGCTCACCTGTAACGTAAAATAGGCATATGCCTTTACTTCAGTAGATTCATTCTCTGTTCAGCTGGTTTATCACATGATAACAGGGCAATAAAATCATGCTTTAATTATCAAATAATCACAAGACTTCATCACCAGAGGCTACAGAAATCGCATGAAAGCAATACACGAAAAGAGCAGAGACAAGAAACATGAGCAGATACTGAATTATGGTCTCTGGCAGTTTCAGAAACTCTTGGTCAACCAGGAAAAAGACAAAAAAAGAAAAAGAAAAAGACGAGACACTTACAGGACAAACTGGGCCCTGAGAGGACATGACAGATTGCATGTCAGAAGGATCTGAAACATAACCCAAACGCAGATAAGGAAGCATGTCTGAGACAGCTTCTCTTTCCTTCCCAACATAGACCTGCAGATAGGACGAACTGTGGAATTAAAGAGAATGACCACTCTGCTCCCCTCTCAAAGTCGATTTGACCAAGTGGCAAGTGGGAGGACCTCATCCTCTAAACCAACACGCCACTCAAATATTGACAAAGAGAATGACCACTGAATAACCAAGAACATGAAGAGTTTAGTAATAATACATGAAAAACTTGAACTGATAATTTTCCATTTCTTTGAGCAACCATTCGTTTATCTTGATATTGCGGATCTTCAGTATCCAAAGCTGCCTGTGTCAGATGTACCAGCTAGGTTAAATTAGAGACGGTAAAATACCAGAAGCAGGAAATCAAGGTTCCACCATATACCTTTACCACTAGGCGGTCATAAGAATTTTCTTCATCAACAAAACCATAGTTTATAAGTAATTTTGAGTTAGGCTGTGGGCCACACCTGAAAATCACCAATTTTAAATATTATAGTGAAGAAACCAATAAAGAAGAAAATAATGCAAATATTCTTTGACCCAGTTACAAGCTGTGATATGAAACAAGTACACACCAAACAGCAATAGGTTCCCCAGCTTTATATGGACGATCAACCACTAGCTGAACTTCACCGTCAACAGCAGCTAACATTGCTTTGCAATTACTTCCGTAGGCCAGCAAAGGAGGTCCAAGGGGAACCAACGCAAATCTCCGAGCTAAACTAACCTTCTGCTTTTAAAAGGAACAAAAGTTAAATCTGCACCATTTCATCTAACAATGGATCTGAATTATATTCCCAATTTAGGTTGAATTGAAATGTTGTGTAGCTCTTCATCTAACATTCAATTGTATGATGATGGAGAACTGCGATGCTTCAGAGAGTGGTATTTCCATGACCAAATGTGACCCTCTCATCAAAGTTTAAATAATATATAAGATAAAAATCAGCCAACAAACAAATGTACTTTATAATCATTTATGCATATTTCATGCACAAGAGAAGAAATTTACCTGTAAGTGGACAACACATGATTGAACTGCAACAAAGGCTTGTTTGAAAATCTCAAATGAAAAAGCCTCAGTAGGGATGTCAAACGGGTATTGCTGCATAGTGCATCATGCAAATAAGGTTAGACCAAACATAAGAAAACTTATGGTACTTCTATTGATAGCACAGATTGGTATTGCTGCATAACGCATAATGCAGATATGGTAAGACTAGACATTTTTTCAAAAAGATATTACAAAAAATTTTTTGGGCAGTTGTATTGCTAGTACAACTTTAATTATTACCTGAAACAGTGAACCGGCCATAAACCAGACAGTGTCAAGTTCATTATACTCTCTTCTAATTCCTTCAGCCCTTTCAAGGATTTCAGCCTAAATCATAGCCTCAGGAGATTAGTCTCAGGATATTTGAAAACATCGAGAATGAGAACAACAAAAAATATGCATCTCTCAGCACTATGGTAACAGTATTCATCTTCAATCAGAAGAGAGAATGAAGATAGTCACCTTTGTGGGACTGCCTGTAAGGTGAGATAGCTCAGATTCTGACCACAGAAGGGGTGATTCCACTGCCAGCTGACCCCTACCTCGCTGACGATCAAGTTCCCTGATATATGGATACCAGAAGGACTTCTTCCCTTGTTTTTTCTCATACATCAAATACAATGCCAAGCATGCCAATTCCGACAATTTGTTTGTAGTCAACAATTCAGCTGCAAGAAGGATGGAATATGAGAAACAGATTAAAATTCTTTGAATGCCTCCACAATATGTCAATAAGTAGCTTTCCGATGCTTACATAATAAATAAATCCTATTATAAAAATCCAAGCAGCATGAAAACAACTTTGCCCATTCTACTGAAGACTCCGCTGATTTAGCTATCATAATTCATCAAAGCTTATTTTAAGTTGAGAGATGTCAAAGCATAGTTTATCATGGAGTTTAACCACCTCCAACTAACAGCCACAAAATGGCAACCAGCTGAAACAAAAAACCTCAGGCAGCTACACAAGTCACATTGAATGAAACTAACACGAACAGCTCCGAGAATTCTATAAACTGTAAATGGTGTTAAGATTGCCGTTTGTCCTTATTTATTTATACCAAGAGTTCTGCTTTGCTCCTAGGATCTGAACCGCATTAAATACGACTATTAATATATGATGTTAGTAAAGAAGGTCAGCCACTAGAAGGCAAACATTCTTGCTCACAAAATCTCTTATACATTATGGTATTCTAAGTCAATCGGCCACATAAACCCAACACAAAACCCCTATTTTCCTTTTCATTTAGGGTTTTTTTTTTCTCTGAAAAAACCCAAGGACGCTATATCCAATCCGAAAATTTGAACTTCGGGACAAGACAAAGGCATAACCAAGTTAAAACTCAAAACTACTGCACCTTACCAATGGTCTCGTTTCCTAACACCCTCTCTAGGGTGACAACCAAGGAATCAGGAACCGAGAATGCAAGATCACCCGCCTGAAGTAAGATAGTTCAAAAATCAGGAAACCCACTACAAAAATGAACACCTCAATAAAGAAAAGGACAACGAGACCAAAATATTTGGCCAGCGAACCTGAAGATCTTCACTAGCAGCAACATAATGTATAGGCTTATGGTTGTCATTGTAGGAAGGCCGTTCCTTTAGAACAACCTTGCACGGAGGAAGCCCATTCTTGTGCATCCAGGATTTCAAATCACCAGAATCCTCCTCTTTCTTGCTAAGAATAACCTCGGGGTGATGTTTATCATTCTCCTTCCGCGATCCAGCAAGCAAAGTATCAGGATTGGGGGCCGAACAAGAACATGGTCGTCGAAAGGGTCTGACAGAGCAAGAAGCATGACCTGGGTTCTTGCAGAAAAACAACGAAAATCTGGAGAAAGGTGGAAGAGGATGAGCCAAAGAATAACGAATTGGAGGGGAGAAGCATTTGTCCGAAATTAGTGAGACTTCCATACGATTAGGGTTTTGGCGCGAATGACAGTAATAAGAGAATCAGTGATGAGTGTAGCAAGAAGTGGCGATCGTTGAAGAGAGATATTTTGGAGTGTATTGAAGAATCCACGATGCGGAAGATAAGGAGCGCGAGACGAATTGGGCTGATGCAGAGAAAACTAGAATGTGCTTCTCCCGTGCGTTGCACGGGGAGCTTCTCTAACCAAGATGAAAATTTCTAACGATGTCCAAAATATATTCATATAAATTATGTGATTCATTTTCAACAGTTACAAAAGCTAATTAGAAAAACTTGTATTTTTGTAAAGATAAAAATTACTTTCTAAATATAATTTAAATGAAACATAAACTTAATATTCATGTTGAAAAAAAAAACCTTCAAAACTTTTAGGAAAACAACAAAAATAAGTAATACTTAAATACAAAAAATTAAATGACACGAAGTATTTCGGAAGAAAAACTTGTCATTGCATCTTATATTTATTGTTTTCAACTTTTATAAAAATAGATTAAAGCCATCTGCATAATATAACAATCCAATAATATCAACTAAAAACATTCACACGATGACCGTAACAGTAGAAGACTTTTTCAAGCAGTCCCCCCCCATGGCATTGGGCAGTGTATATTTGCATCAATAGCCGTCTAAAATGCTTTTTATTACCATGTTCTAGGAACTTGCTTTTTTTCCATTTTCGTATGACAATATCCTTTTCCTTCATAATACAATACATCCATTCATTGAAGGATTGAAGAATTACCAAAAAATCTTAAAATTTAGCTTTATTATAACGCCAAAGGTGGTGAAAAATCTTAAAAGCAACCTCATCTTAAAATTTAGCATTATCTTCCCGATTATACTTATCATGCATATAAAAAATTAACAAATTTAATTCTCATTTGAGGCAACTTAACTACACATTACAACAAAACTGGAGACACAACAAATCATAAATGTGGCATGTAAACCAAAAAAAAATAAAGGTACTTGAACAGCAATAAGGAGAGCTTTCCTCCCACGTGCAACGTTCAGACCAAGGCACCTTCAACCTTGTATCATCATTATTTTCTCCAGTGGCTGTATATTCTACAAGTTCCTCTTTCTTCCCTGCTTCTTCCAATTCCTTCAACATCCCAACCTTTCGTTCAATTTCCTGTCAACTCCTCTTGCGACGAAGCTTCTATACCTTTTGCTTCCATTTGTCCTTGCTGCACAATGCACAACAAAAATACACACAAATTTGTTTCAGATATTCCCTTGTTAAGAAGACGCAGAGAAAATAATTTTTCACTTTATATGAAAAATGATGGTGAGTATGACAACTATGAAACAAACGAAAGGTGAAAACCCCTTACAACTTACAATTATTAGAGAGAGAGGCCGCAAGATATGTCTATAACACCAAAATAAAAGGAAAATGCAATGAGAACATCCAACACATAAGACAAAAGTTCCATTGTACATGTTTTAAATACCCCAGTAAAATTAATGCTCACTATCTACAAACATCTTCGACCATGGCCTGGGCACTTCTCCCTAAATAAAGAACTAAAGCCCACGATTGGAAAGACGGCCCCACCCCCCGAACTTGTATGTTCATTATTTTCATGCAATGGAATATATGCAAGAATTATAATAAAAAGAAAGCTGCAGGGCAACAAAAATACCATATGCAAAGTGATTAAAATGAAGACGATGATTAGATAATAGATACCTACAATATACAGTGAGCGGATGTCTGACCAATATATTCCCATCCACCGCTGCTCATAGTCATCTTCATTCTTTGCTCCCGTTTATCTTCCAGAAAGAACAGAGATTAGGCCCACCTTATTGGTGAAAAAACTATATAAAGAACAGAATAGATGGCTTATCTCACTCCAAAGGTGCCTTCTTACTCTGCTTCAACATGGATTTAACCCAAAAATAGAAAATCATTAAAGAGTACTGGCAATAGGAAATGATTACCTTGACTCAATAATTTACTGCTTTTCAATGAGACTGAAACAGCGGAGGAGAAATCTGAATCGGAGAAGAAAATAATAATCTGAATCAAAGAAACACTTTGTCTTCGCACTATTTTGCTCCAGGGCATGAAACTTACCGATTGGTTTAAGGAGATCTGATACTCCCCTTTGCTTAGACAGTCAGCCAAAACCTCACGACGTTGGCCTCAATGAACCCGGACTCTGTTCTTCCATCAACGTCATCCTCTTTCTCCATTCCTCATCACCATCTACATCCACCTCACCTATCTCCTTCACCGTAACCAACATTGGCGACCTTTACTATTCATGTCCAGCATCACAGTCGGCCAAACCAGAACAGAAGCCTTGCGAACTCGACCCCATCTTTTTCAATGATCACCAACGAATTTGCCTCCTTTGTTCCTCACCCTCATCATTTTCTTTCGCCGTTCACCAGCAAGGAGAGTTGGAAGCCATAACATTGAACCTGGTTGGGAAAAGAAGGAATTTTGTAGCATGAGAGAAAGTGAAAAGCTAAAGCCATAAGGAGATGAGAGGGGAAAAAAAAACCTGGTTGGGAAAAGAAGGAATTTTTAGATGTCGTCCATGCTTCTTTCAGGGTAAACTTGCAAATTGTAAATGAAGAATGAGAATGTATGGAGAGAGGGATGCATGAGATTTGAAGAGGACAGATAAGGATAAAATCTAGAGAGGTGTTTTGAAATTTGAAGGAAAAAATTTATAGAATAAAACTGTAAAAGTGACACAGATATGGAGGAGATGTATCAAAAAAAGACAGAGATACGGAGGAAGAAAAAAAAAGAGGGAAAGTGGAGAGATGAGAATTTTGAAATTTGAATTTGAAGTGTCATAGGAAAGCTTTGTGGACAACGAAAAAAGTGATAGAGATTTTGGGAGCTCCTTAACTTCATAGTTTGATAGCCGGCACCAAGCCATATGAATAATTAATGAACTGTGCAGCTGATAACAGAGCCCAAAGCCTTTTTTTTTTTTGGTATTGAGCCATGAATCTCTTGTGAACAGTGTTTTGAGTGTGGAGCCATGATTGAGCCGTCTAAAAGCATCGGCTTGAGTGGAAGAGAATTAATAGATATATTGATTGCGAAAATCGGATATGTGGAATATCACCAAAAAAAAAAAACGATGTGTGGAAACAAAAAGGGTGTGGCAATAAATTAGGGAAATTAAATTTACAAAATAGTCGCAAAATATAATGATTTTCTGAAACAAAATGGGGTGGGACAACAGATTCCTTTTATTCATTTGTTGTGCGATTTTTTTTTTTGATGATTGAATTACTTATATGAAACTTAATTTTCTCAACTTTCTTTATTAAAAGTAACAAGCAGCGGGTCACTGAAAAAGGCATTGCAAGTTAAGGATAGATTTAGCGGAGAATTGAAGTATTCGCGAATCGCGGGTGAAAAAAATAGTTAAGTCGCAGCCGCCTTAATTTGAATATGTCAACGTCTTATTTATTAGTGATGATCAGGCGCTCCTCTGTCCTATTTAACACGTATTAACAAAAACTTCAAAATTTTATTAACTTCTACTTCTCTGGTTCATGCATAAAATATTTTTAACATATTTTACGCAGATAAATTTTTTTAAAATTTTATCAATTTTTATTTAAAATTTAATAACTTTTTAACTTTATTCCTATTTAATATACATTATATCTCACATAAACAAAATCCACACAATAATAAATAAAAGATAAAATTATACATTTATACAAAAAAAAATTTTAAGGTCCTATAAATATAACAAAAAATTTCTTTTCTTTCTACCTTATAAATAAGACCAGATGAGTATATAAAATTTAATAACTTTTTAATTTTATTTTTATTTAATATATATTATACTTCATAAAAACAAAATCAATACAATAATAAATAAATAGTAAAGTTATACATTTATATGAAAAATATCTCTCTCAGTCGAACAAAAAAAATTTCCTTCTCTCTGCTTTATAAAAAGACCAGGGGAGTATGAAAGTCGGGTCCTATGTGATACATAATATTTTCAGCAAAAATAGTAGAAATTATTATTTTTTGTGAACAAATTATTATTTTTGAGTTAGGAAGGGATTGTATAATATTCCTCGAATGTCTTCCTTCATCAGGAGTTGTTTTGAGGTGGGGAGAGTATGAGAGTCGCTTGAGGTGTCTATAGAAGTAAACAAAAATGCAAATGACAGCAGCCATTTGGTTATTTTCGATTCCATATAATACAATTCAACCCTCACGTACCTGTATTTTCAAGTGAGAGATGATTTGAATAATCGGCATGAAGCCTTGACTTCAAATAAATATATACTGGATTCAAGTCATGAATCAATATAATAAGGAGCCAAGTATCGGGTGGGTGTTGACTGCTGGAGAAGGTTACTCTGCTTGTCATTTCACAAAGGGAATGCAGAAAAAGGTCAATGCATTGTGTGATCGAGAGCAGAGAAAGGTCTAAGACTTTGGAAATGTGGGGTGGCGGAAGAAGAAGCATGCAAGTGATGACGGTGGCACTGGTGTTGGTGGTGGTGGTGGTTCAGTTATTTGGAGGCTCTTACTCAAATGACGACGGCGCTGTTGTCATGGACGACAAGAGCTTCCAGACGACGACGATAGGAGTGGTACTTGATTTAGGGTCGCGCATGGCAAAAGAGCAGAAGACAGCCATGGAAATCGCTGCCCAAGAATTTAACGGCCTCGCACCTGGCCTGCTCTTCCATTTCCACCATTCTCACGGCAGCTCCGCAGCTTCTGTCGCCGCCGGTAACTTTAATCCTCTGAGCGAGAATAACTTCGGCTTTTTCCCATTAATCATGGATTTTTTGTTAGGTGTTTAGAATTAGCTTATTTTAAGTTATTTTGCAGAAGCACGTACGTAAAAAGAATTTTGTCCGTAAAACATAGAACTTTGTTTAAATGATCATAAGATGAGAGTTTGCCAAACAAGCATTTCAATTCTGCTGTCCTTCACATTGGCGCTCGCACCTTCATTTGATTCCCTTGTCTATGTTAGTTATGGGTCTCGCGCGCAGCAAGCAAGTGCGAGCTATCATAGGGACGATATCACACGGCGAAGCGACTATGGCAATTGAAACTAACAGCACATTGAAGAACATTCCTATCTTATCCCTGACTTCGCTCGCAGTGAGCAGAGACACAGAGATGTCTTCAACTCCATTGCCATACTTCATCCAGTTGGGCACCGATATTACCTTCCACACGCGATGCTTTGCCGCCATTGTCGGGGAATTCAAGTGGCCCAAAGTGACAGCAATCTATGAGCAAAATAACGGAGTTTTCTCTGATCCAAAGACATTAGCTCTCTTTTCCCATTCGCTTCGCCTTGTTGGTTCTGAGATTGTTGACCATTCAGCTCTGCCTTCTCTTTCTTCTCTGTCCAACCCTAGAGTTACTATTGAAAAAGAACTTAGCAGGCTCAAGAGCAACAATAACAGGGTTTTCTTGGTTGTTCAAGCTTCTTTAGAGATGGCGAATCTTCTTTTTGAGAGGGCAAAGCAAATGGGTTTGATGGAGAAAGAATCGGTATGGGTCATACCCGATGAGATTGCTGGTCTCATTGATTCGGTGGATTCCTCTGTTATTATTAACATGCAAGGTGTTGTTGGATTTAAAACCCACTTTCATGAAATGAGCGAGACATTCAGACGATTCAGATACAAATTTCGAAGAAAATTCTCGTTGGAGTACCCTGAAGAAGAGAACATTAACCCGAGTATCTTTGCACTTCGGTCATACGATGCAACTTGGGCTATTGCTCTCGCTGCAAAGAAATCACAAAGGAAGTTCTCCCAGAAAGAATTTTCAGAAAGCATTCTTGCCAGCAACTTTGAAGGACTAAGTGGCAAGATTCGCTTTAAAAATGGAAAAATATTGTGGCCACGAGCCCTTGAAATAGTTAATGTGATCGGGAAAAGCTATCGAGATTTGGCATTTTGGCCTCCAGCATTTGGTTTCTCTAAGAACCTTGCCAGACATCAGTTAATGGAGGTGACGAAAAATAACGGTTCTACTGGAACCTTAGAAACAGTTTACTGGCCAGGAAATTTACTTTCAGTTCCCAAGGGTTGGACTTATGGTAACGAGGGAAAGACATTGAGAATTGGTGTGCCCGCACAAGGTGCCTTTACCCATTTTGTGAATGTGACTTACGATCAGAGTCGGAATAAAACTTCTATCACAGGTTTCTCAATTGATGTCTTCAAAGCTGCTGTTAAACGTCTTCCATATCACTTGCAATATGAGTTTATACCAGTCAACTGCTCTTATGATGAAATGGTTCAGAAAGTCTACAAGAAGGTGTGATTGCCATTTATTATGCATTAGGAAGCTATTGGAATCTTTAATATACCACAAACCCATATTTAATATGTTAATTCTATTGAAAAATTCATGTGCTGATACAGGAACTTGATGCTGCTGTTGGAGATACAGAAATAATGGCATATAGATATCGTTATGTAATATTTTCTCAACCATATGTTGAATCTGGCCTTGACATGGTGGTAACAGTAAAGCCCAATAAATCAAAACAGACGTGGATGTTCACGAGTGCCTTCACAAAAGAAACGTGGCTGGTGATGACAGCAATGCACATTTTCATTGGATTTATCATCTGGCTGATGGAACGGCAAGTGAATGAAGAATTGAGGGGACTTGGGGCTATGCTTTGGTTTTTAGTCACTATAATCTTCTATGCTCACAGTAAGTCCTCTAACATGAAACCCGACACATTCAGTCTTTTTTCCCAGAAAATGTCAGTCTGACATATCAGTGTGAGCCTAATAACGTCGCAGACACCATCAGTTTGCCACAAACAATTTATCATCGCGGCTAAGATGGAAGTCAAAACCTAAAGTGCATTCCTATTCATCAAAATGCATGTGGCCTAGTTAATTACTCTCTTTCTTGACTAAGAAAGTTCTCTATAGATGTGTTCTAATTTTAGATATATTTCTCTGATAATCAGGAGAACCAATCAAAAACACTTTTGCTCGGATTGTGTTGGCACCATGGTTATTCATAATCCTTATTCTCACGACAAGTTTTACAGCTAGTTTGACATCCATGATGACCATCAGTCATCTTGAACCGTCTGTGTTGGACATCAAAACCCTTCAAAGGACTAATGCCCCTGTTGGGTGTAACGGAAATTCATTTATCGTGAGATATTTGACAGACGTACTAAAATTTAAGCCTAAGAATATTCGTAAAATTGATTCCATAAGTGACTACCCTACAGCCTATAAGAACAGGGACATTGAAGCAGCTTTCTTTGTTGCACCACATGCTAAAGTCTTCCTTGCCAAGTACTCATGCGCAGGCTTCATTAAAGCAGGGGATACTTTCAAGCTTGGAGGATTTGGATTTGTGGGTTTGTCTTTTCCTTGTCATTGTGATCACTTTAGGATTTGCTTGGTGAAGTGAATATTGGAGTCCCATAGTCAAGATTTTCATTCATTGCTAACTTCTATGGAGTCTCCAATTTTCACTCTTACTAAACAAACGCTTAAATTTGATGTTAACTTTTAAATTTGATGTTAACTTACACACACACAGGTTTCCTCTAACTATAGTTTGAAACCTCAGGCTTTCCCAAGAGATTCCTCCAAACTTGCTAATGACATATCAGAGGCAGTGATGAACGTGATAGAGGATGGAGAAACACAACAATTAGAAGATGATATGATATCCACGGCTAGTTGCTCCTCCTCGGATGACAAGATCCCGGGCAAAGGATCATTGGGAATTCAACCTTTCCTTGGCCTCTTTTACATCTCTGCAACTGTTGCTGTTCTTGCCGCTTTTGCATGGTTGTATTCCATCAAGGACTTGGTTACAAGCGAATTGCGGAACTTGATGAGTCAAATGCAAGAAACATTTTCACATTTCCGGATAATATTACTATGGAGAGGGACGAAAGCATTTCTGGCTCACATTTATTCAGAATTCCAAACTGGGATAATTAGAAGTTCTATATCAGGAACGAATAATCTAGAGGATACAGCTTCTTCTGGTAACGAGCAAAGCCTGGGGGGTGCCGAACTAGTTCATGCAGTTACGGTTCCTCATGCTCCCAGCTAAGTTTTTCATTTGGGGGGGGGGGGGGGGAACCTAGTATATAGACATTGAAGAGGATTTGATATGTACGATAGAAAATTTTATACTTGATGGTTTATGTACAGTTATTTGCAATCTGTGATGTTGTATATTAATCTACCTAGAAAAGAATTTCCGTGCGTTACCAAGGAATGACAAATGCTGTATTTAGACGTTATTATTTGTGATAAAGTTGCAGAATTGCATAAAGAGAGAGAGAGATTGTAAACTTGCGGAGTGAACTGAAAATTCGATTACAAGGAAATTAAAGATGGACAGATATATTTCATCAAAAAAAAAAAAAGATGGACAGATATAGACGGCAATTTTTTTTTGGGCACAGTGATCATTAAAAGGAAGGGGAATATTACATTTATTGAACAGATGGGCTATCAGAGGTTGACTTGGGATCTGCTTCCTCCTCTTTTTTCTTCTCCACCTGCCTATACACACACAATTTGATAATCTCTGCTTAGGTATGTATTTTTAAATTTTTTTTTTTGGTTTCTATAATTTAACCAATTCATTAATTTCATCCTGATCAGTTAAAAATTCGGAGTTGAATCTTTTTAAATTTTTTTAATCAAAGAATCTTTTTTAGTTCGAAATATGCAAACTGCGTTACTGTAAGACAAATATATATTTCGTTGCATAAGCAAAATTCTAGAAACCTTTATAGATGCCAAAATAAAATATATAAACATATAGACATACCTGTGAGCGGAGAGGTACCTAGAAAGCTGATAGAGTTGCACAGACTCGTTAGACATATGGCAGAGCATAAGATGAATGTTACGAGGTCGTACCACCCAAGCAAACCTCATGAACAACGCCGAATATCCACACATCACTGCATCCACTAATTTCTAATTATTAATACTACTAAATAACCTCCATGAATTATTTTCCGAATTAACATTAATATCATAATTCGAATTAAAATAAATTATCCATTAAATTGGAAGCACTATTCAAACAAGCAAGCAAACAGAACTTAACCTGCAGTCATGTTGAGAGAGATCATCTCTGGGGGTTTCTTTGTGTCCAGTGCTGCCTGTTATTTTATACCATTTTCACAGTCATTTCTAACGCATATCAGATTTTTTGTTCCTGGTGCATCCTATATGTGTGTGTGTGTGTGTGTGTATTTCATATGTTTGTCTTTTTTAAATTTCGTTTTGAAAATACAAACTTCCCCTGTTTTGGCCTTTCCTTTCGCATTCCCACCCATCAAAATTCAAAACAAAGTGCAGGTATAGGTGGGTATTTGTCGAGAAGCCAGTAAGATATAAATATAAGATAAAAAATTTTAACACAGAAGCATTTGATTTGAAAAATTAAAAGTCAAAGGTACAAAATGGGGCCGTACCGCTATGGGAAGGCTCCAGTTGAAAGTAGGACCCCAAAAGTGAGTCGTTTTTGGTCCGATGGGACTGTTCCAAAACTTTCGGAGCATTTCCATTTCTGGTATTCATTCATATATTTCATCGCAATAATTAAAAAATATATATATACACACAAAACAACAGAACTAAGATAAATGAAATCATCAAGTTTAGGCGTAATCTTCTCCTAAAATACACAACCCCGCAAGTGCCAAACGATCACGCATCTATAACATGCAACTCTGACTAGTTTTTTTTTTTTTTTGACTCTTCACTGATTGTTTTTCTGGGTTGTATACCTTAATTTTGAACGTACTCTGGAGGTTTTACAGATATATTTTTTTTTATCTGATTGCTATGGATTACGTAACAAGGGATATAATAATCTTTTTATCTCACAAATTTAAATCCGGTCTCTCTTGTAAAAACCTGCCACATGTTAAACAATCAGAAAAAAAATATTTCCCGATGATGTTGTGTAGGTATACAAAATCACAAAAAGATCATCATCGATCTACTCAGCACAATAGAGGTTTTTTCTTTCCTCTTCTTCCTTCCCTGTGCTGTTAGATAAGTGTGTGTATCAAAGCAATCATTTACCTCACCGTATCCCCCCGTTCAATGTGGATATCATCAGATTACAAAAGAAACGAGAAGGAGAACATTATAATGAGCGTAGGAAGTTTGGCCGTATTGACGTGAACGAGAAGCAGAAACGTACGTACTAAGAATCGCAGCAGAAGCAAGCAATACCTGGAAAAGATAATGAGATTTTGCGATGAGACAGATATGAACGAGAGAGAGATTAATCACAGAGGAACGCCCACGTCAACGCCTATATGTCTGGACAGTAAAAGGAAGATCGATCGAGCCGCCAAAACACGTTAAGATACAACGTCCGATCAGCGATGCAGGCTGAGGAAGCTGATAAAAAACTGGCCTTATCTAGGAAGTTACGAAACTATCCCTTCTTAAAATATTTCTGGCTTCGATGTTTGGTCTTAATTCTTATCCTGTATGTGAATCTCCATTATTCATCCCCCCTTGGCCTCTCCTCTTAATATAATAACTGTTTTCATGAAAATATGATTCTATATTGAGCGCACTAAAAAACAAAGGAAATGTGAGTAAGACGTTCTTATCTCTACCTTGCATTCTCAGTGGATAAGCTCCTCCATCCATGATCGCTGATCCAAAGCAAGTTACGTACCAAATTGAGATAAGGCCCCACAAATCTTTTCCTAGCTTCCTATATGCATGCTGATACAGACGTATGGTGGCCTTCAATTCTTGTTTCCGCCACTTTTATCCCCCCTTATTTATCGCCCGACTATGGGCATCGCACTTCACATAATCACATTTGATCATGAGATTGCCAAGTTTTTTTGTTAAAGAAAGAGATTAAACAATTGGATTTTTAAAATTTAGTTGAACCATCCAATTTAGGTTGAAAAAAAAAACATGGGCAGCGAACTCTGTCACGATCCAATGTTTTATCCTCAGAATAATTCTTTGGTTTTTATATTAAAAAAAATTCTTTAAACTTTCCATCAAATCTGTAATGATTGTATTGATAAGAAAAAGTTGCGAATTTTTTTGGTTCAATCCCGGGTCCATAGATGTAATTTGCCCAGGTTATTATCGTTCCTTTCATACAATCCGACGAAGTATCAATTCATATTCAACAAAATGATTCCTACGTCGAACAGCGAACACTGGTCATCATCATCATCGATATATATGGCTGCAGAAAGCCCACATTATTCTCACTAGTGAATAATAAGACTTGTAATTTAAAGATATTATAGAGAACGAATAACATTACCTACTTGGAATTTCAGTAGCTTCCCGTATACGAGGAGTCTGTCAACTGTACAAGGAACCTACAGCTGATAACTTGGCAGCGCCACATCTAACTAAGAAACTATAAACACAAATAATGATGTACAGTGAAATCGTCCCTAGAAATATCTACTAAAACCCCTATATTCCAATTAATCTGTTACTTCCAACACTCCTCTCGAATCAATTTGGCTGCAGATGCAATCCAGCAGTGTCGAGCTATCAGAAAGTTGCTCAACGTGTATTGATGTAGCATTGAACAGATGTAAGATTGGATCCAAAGCCGACGAATTTGAGGGTCCACTATACTAAAAGTCGTCTTCAACTACTGCACTTGGTGGGGTATGATCTCCTCCTACTGTGCTTTACTGTGAACCTATTGTGTCTTTCCTCTTTGCTACTACAAGAAACAAGACAAGCCAAGCAGCAAAAGAAACATAGAAACCATTAGCAATCATGCCTGTAAAAACAGTCAAGTAGTTCTACAATAAAGAAAGATCATCAGCAACCAATTGGCACAGATATGCATGCGTGTCTATATACACAAGACATAACAAGGTTCACCAAAACTTGCCAGCAAGTATATGAAAGGAGCACAGAGAAGCAACATTTGCAAGACTCTCATACATTTATTGATATTCAGAACTAAGTGCAGCGTACAGAGGAAACAAAATATAATGCTACGCAGTAGAACATCCTTTAAACAAACACCAAAAAACTCTTCTTTTAAAATTATAAATAAAGAGTCATATAAATTTGTTGCTTCAAGCAAATTACCTCCAAAATTTACCTGTGATTCTACGGGTCATCAACTCCAAAAGATTGATCCAGTTTTGGGAGCTTCTGGATGGAAATATCACCATAAGCATTATTTTGCCTTACATCCAAACAGCTAGTAGTTCTCAAAACCTGCACAATCGTTACACAGAGATAAATGCTACAAAATGTTCCTTTCCTCTTCTTCTGGCAAGGGTAGTGCTCAGAAAACAGCACTAAAAGAACCCACTCAAGAACAGTCAATTTCGAGGCACGATCACACCATGAACATACAGTTCTACTAACTAAGAATAGGCTGAAAATTCTCTTAATCTGTTTCTCCCTTGATAAAGCCATTGAAGCAACGACACGGTATAGTGATGACAATGTCACATGCTGCAACGTATGTTAAATCAATTTGTTTCACGTGACCAAAAGACATCGATGTCATAATAACTAAATGACGCCAAGAGCAAAAGGAGTTCAAAACAAATCACGTCATCAGCATTATAGATGCATATTTTCCATTATTTCAGATTCACGATCACCAATTGAAGGGAAAACAATGATTCAACTTTTCACAGATGTGTAGTCAGATAACATGCACCAATGATAATTGATGACAGATTCCCTTCCCTTCAAGAGGGCAAAATTCAAAATCCTAAGAAACTAACCCATATGCCTCATTCTGGCCAAGAATCGATACGGAAGTTTGCCACGTAAAAAGTCATTGAAGACATTGTTATGAGCATAAATGTGATTTTGAGACACAAATTGGTCATACCAATATTTCATAAAATAGCCTTGCACATTCTTTCTTGGCCCGTCCTAGCAGAACTTGGGAAAAATTCAGAACAACTTCTTCTCTTTGTTTCCTTAGATCCAGAAAATGTCTTTGCAAGTATCTGGCAACTTTCCTGTATCCAATAGCAGCCAGTCAATAGACAAATATTGCAAGTATCTGGCGACTTCCTGTATCAATATTGCAAACAAACATTAAATTATAGATCAATATAAAACATTCCAAGTGTAACAACTAACTTACGTGGTTCGCCTAGACCATCCACCTATAGTAAAGAAAAGAATCAAGAAACCAGGCCATTTTAGAGAGAGCACAAAATTTAACCAATAAAATTTAGCAAGTTAACAATGAAAATCTGCAAGAGTTCTTACATAAGTCTGAATTCTCAGTTTCAATTGAATTTGTCTCCTGACAAAAAGGATCAATTAGTTTGCAGCAAAATCAAGAACAAACGAAAAATAAACTAAACCAAGAATCTCTTAGCCCCACAAAGTAATAATTATCAATTGAGATTTGGATATTTAACCACTAAATTTAAAGTAAAGACTTGGTTTAAGATAACTTATTTAGATAGGACATTTGTCTCTGGAACATGTCATCCAAACTATTTTTCTTACAGGTTCACTCATGCTTTTTATTCTCCAAAGTGGTGGGTGCAATTTAAGAAGTCAATCGAGAGATAAAATCAATTTTTCCAAAGCAAATATTTCTAACAAACTCCAACATAAAAAACGCAACATTGCAAGATAGTTCATGGGTTGACTAGCTTGCAACTTATTTTAAACTAATGCAGTAAATCAACACAATTTTTAACATTTTCATAATAATTATTCTATACCTCAATCATCAAATCAAGTTCTTCATCCCTTCTAAAACATTGTTCTCCTGCCATGCTTGCATGTGGACTTGAAGTTTCCACGTTACCCTGCAAAATGGTTCATAAGGTGAATTGTAAAAATAATTACTGTCGTGTCTAAAACTATTACTACTACTGTGAGCCCCATGGGTATATGACACAATTTCCAAAGTTTCCATAATAATTATTCATTACCTCTTTCACCAGATGAAGTTCTCCACCCCTTTTCAAAGATTCGTCTCTCTCAACACATTCAAGTCGACTTGAAGGTCTTAAATTGTCTGAGTTTTGAGTTGTTTTGCTGCTTTGAAAATAATTTGGCCGAGATGTTGAGAACTGAGGAGGGGTATTTGGAGCAGGCCCACTAAGCTCTAGCTTGCCAACAGTTTGAGACTCTGATTCATCTAATTTCCTCGGGGTTTCCTCAATTTTAATGGAATTTAACATCTTGATTTTCTTTTTAGAGAACAGAATTTGGAGCTCTAATGAATCGCCTGAAGCAAAGAAATGTTAGTGAAGATAGCAGATTTTATAAACAAAAAACAAATGATAAATTTTGAACTCACAAGGCAAGAAAGATTCATAGAAGCGCTCAGGAAGACTGTAAACACGAGAAGCTTTCCAAGCAGGAGGTACAGGACGGGGAACTTTTCTCCGTTTGGAAATTAAGTCACTGGCATCATGTATGCTCTGTCGAAGCACCCTGAAACAGTTCCATATGATGGGGTCCATTAAGTCAAATTTCAAGGCATCACTATGTCAAGCAAAATCCTAAGAATTGAAAGTTCAAATCTGAATTTAATATCCATTAACTATATAACAAGTTAAGTAGCTGCTATGCAGTTACAGGTAAATCACATGAACTACAACTAGTGCATGTGAAAAAGAGGGAGGCTTCAAAGCAAACAGGTGCAGAGGTAGCCAAAAATTGCAAATGTCAGTATTCTCTAACCGAAAAAAAATAAAAGTAAAAACAGTGAATGGACAAGTTTTTCGTTCCCAGCTATTACTCAAAGTAAAACTAGTTGTACCTCATAACACACTCCATAACACATAAAAGATTATCGCCATTATCAAATAAAATGACTGCCATTAGATATCCCATTCAAATTTAGAGATGCAAAAGAACCTTGATTCCCAACATTATTATTGGCAAAACTCAATATGCATTCTAAATAGCTTATACCCCCAAGACAAATGCCAACTCTATCTTTTGATCAAGCTTTGTGCAAAAGAGACATGAATAGTATCTATTGCAAGACTTGTATTCCATAAAAAGTACTTCAAACATGAAGTAATATCAAGAGAAAATGGTTGAAAGAAGACAGGGAGACCGGAGAGTGTTCAAGAAGATTATCTAAATTAATTATCACATACTCATTAGGCAAGACTATCAATCCATCAAAAACACATTTTCTCTTCCTTGAAAAGCGAGCACGCTCTTTCACAGCTGGTGTAGAAATACGCATAGACTCTGACATAGTAGCACCTGCCATAATAACAGCCCCCAAAGCAAAAAAGGTTTAGTACGTCAATAAAGAATACATAAGAATGATTAAAATAATTCAGCTTTTGTATTTTCAGGGTTCTAAGCAGAATCGTCCTAAAAACCTCGTTTTGGTTTTGCAAGTGAATCATTCTGAAACTTAGTTTGAGGAGTTATCTCAGGAATGTTTGACTCCGGTGGAATCACAGGAAATTTTTCATCTTCAACTGAAGCTTCTTGTAACTTTAATCTGCCTTTCTTATGATGCTTTTCAGCAGACCCTTCAATGAGTTTTTCAATCTTCTCCCTGGAAGGTGTAGACTTATCAGGGTCCATGCAATCTTTTTTATTAAATATATCATCTTCAAGACTTTCCACGCTGACTGGTGAATCCCTTGCCTCACGAACTTCTTCAACTTCCAGATGCTTTGGGCATTCTGAGTTTGCTGTTTCATTAACTTTAATCTTCTCTTCATCAAATTTTCCGTCTTTTCTTGAAACTCTTTCTAGTAAATTTGGTTTTCCTACATCATGAAGTTTTTCAGCAGACTCTACCATAGGTTTTTCAATCTTCTCCTTGGCAATGGAAGACTTGCCATACTCCAACCATTCTTTTTTATTGCATTTATCATCTTGAAGCCCTTCCATGCTTCTAGGTGAAATTCCAATTTCTTGATAAATTTGGCAGTCTGAGTTTGCTGTTTCCCTCGCCTTAACACGCTCTTCACCAGCCTGATGGGATACAGCAAAAGAGACTTCAGGTTCCTCCTCCCTTCTGGAAAACATTCTCACATCCTCAAGCTCCTCTTGAGAGATCCCACATGATATAATCTTCTCCAAACTTCTTTCCTCATGCATACCATCTTCACGTGGTGCAGTTTCGGCAACTTTCTGCTCTTTGTCAATTTGTTGATCTTGAGATTTGATAGGTGCTGTGCGTACTCCTTCAACCCCAGAAATAGGGTCCAAATTCACTGGTTCCTCCTGAGAAAATAATCTCTCTTGAAATTTACCCTTTCCTACCTGTAAATTAATTGGACTATTTGGTGGGCTGACCTCATAGTTGTCCATCAGTTGACACAGTTGAAGACTGCAAGGCTTATTACACATCATATCAGTTCATAGGAGAAGATGAAATTTAAATATCCAGAATCAGCATACTATGATGAAATGGAAATTTTAGTTGTCCTCAATAAATTGATTTACGAAATATAGTTGACATACTCTTCCAGAATATGAGGATCAGCAGAGCAGGTATTTGGACAGAAATCAAACTCCTCGTATTGATACTGCAAGTAAGAAAAATGAAGGTATTGGGCAATGCAAGATTCCAAAAAAAAAAATAATAATAAAATAAAAACTACTTACACAACATAGACATAACGAAAACTATCCCTATGCAAAGGTAAACAATAAAAAATATGCCAATATCAACCATCAATAAGTGTCACATTATAGCTCATTTGACCAGAGTTTAATCTGTTATAAGATTAGCCAATGACAGCAATACATAATTTAATTAAGTCATTCATTGAAGATTCAGCAGTGGCCCTACCCGCTGCATGTTATTCCAAATTCCAAACTGATAATGTTACAGTCACCGTACAACATGATAACTTTATTAGTAAGCATAATATAAAACCATCCAAAATAATATTGATGCTTCAGAAGAGACCAAGTGGGAAGCATAAATTTGAATGAAAAGTAGGATCTATATACTTTTGATATTATTGCAAACAAACATTTCTGAAAAAATTGGTATAGTGGATTTACGCTTGCATGAGGTAATTGATAAATCGATTATTATGAGAATCAAAGTTTGCAAATGACAAGACAACCAATTTGCAGGTGCATAGGAAAGAAGAGAGGATTTTCCGACAAAAGGTGCATATATAAATCTCTAACACTTGAAAAATAAGAAACGCAAGGCACATTGTACATGTTAGGCTGAAAAGATTTGAAAAATTTTAAGAACTACTGAATGATATATAGCAAGAAAAAGGTAACAAATACCTTGTCTAGAGAAATCCGTCCAATTCCCTCATCTTTCCATAATACATCTGTAAAATATTATATTGCATCACATATAACAATAGAATAAGAAGAAAATGTGAAGGAAACTATATGACATGATTTTATATACCTTTAAGAGTGATGTCCTCCTTGGGAGCAATGTTGCCTCTGAATTAACAGAAGATTTAATGAAATAATTATAAATTCATACATTAAAAAAATCCATAACAAATTAAACTGTTATTCCAAAAGAATAGTTTACCCGCCCACATCTTCAACGATCTCCAAATCAAAAGCATCCAGTTCAAATCTATCTGGTACAGTAATAGACATACGCAAGGTTTCCTTGCGTGCATTCTTTTCCGTATCGATTGTAAATTTCTTAATTTTGATGAGCACCTCATTGCAATCATGGAAAAGATACTCAACCTTCTTTGAATATATTCTGACGACACCAAGAAGAAGATAAGAAAGCACTCTATATGAGTCAAAGTTCATTTCATTTTGCAAGATCTTGTCTGCATAAAACAGAAAAATGAAAAAAATGAATATATGTATAGATATATAAATCCAAATTTAGCCCACAAAGCTTTCCTAATTTTTCATAATAGAATTCAGTATAGTTTGCCAGTTGAACTAATATGTACATGCTGAAACTATAATATAGCTTCTGGCAGAGCCTCTCAAATCCCGTGAATGAACAGATTATTAGATAGGATTTACACAAATTTGTGCAGCTGGACGGAGGAAGATCTGTGGATTTCAAGTGTTATTATAAACACAGAGCTTAGTGACACTACCCAATCTTTCTTGCAAATGATATAAAAGCAGTCAATGATAATTCTGTTTTAAATTTTGCAATTACGAAGGTTGTCATGAGGCATAGATTATTGTTTTTGAAACAAAAATGTTGGCCGTTAAGGTAAACAATACAGTAAAATTATGCTCCACCAGTACGACCTAATTCAGTTTCATCATATTGTTTTCCATTTGTAGAGAACAATGCCAAAGGAGGTCAGCAAATATGCATTCATGCCTCACGGCTAATTAAAAGGCTATACTGTTCTGCTACTCCAAAGGGCAGCGGTTATTTGGAATCACATACTCAGCATCTGACACACAAACGAATGTATATGCTAATGCCTTCCATGGCTAATATCGTTCCTCACGGCGAAGTACAAAGACCAAAAAGGAGCTCATACTCATAAACGAGAATATATGAGACAGAAATCCAAATTAACAGAATTAAGGTAAACCCCATTAGAGGCGCCAGTTAAACAACCCCCCCCCCCCAAAAAAAAAAAACAAAGCAGAACAAAACAAAGGGACGGTCAGAATGCAGTGTCCCCGGTTAGTCTTCGTGAATGCTTGGGAAGCAGAAAATGAGCAGAACAAAAAACATTTGTATCTCTTCAGAAAGAATAATGAGAATACCTACCAAAAAAAAAAAAGGGAACGCTAAGCAAGGGCCAGAAATGAAACCATGCCAAACACTTCGGTTCTTCGAGTGAACAACTGTATTCTCTCAAATTTTTCCCCAAACCCCCAAAGTTGACTCGCTGATTTAAGATAAGGGAAAAGAGGAGACAAAGGAAAGAAGACAAACCGACGGAGGACGAAATGTCAGTCTCTTTGACCTGAGCTTTCTTGAGCCTTTTGAGACAATAAGCCGCAACCCAAATGGCACCTTTTCTAGAAACGAGGCACTTGGAGTAGCACATGTCTGTATTTTTGCCTCTCCAATTTTCCCTATTCTGTTTCAGACTTCGAGCTTGAAGTTATAGAAAGCCTGCTGCTGCTGCAGCTGCTTCATGGTATGAAGGAAATGGCTTGCTTATAAACGGTCGCCTGGGCTCCGTTGCGCCCCAGGGACCAGGGGGAAGCCTCAGGCCAGAAATTTCCAAAAGCGCCACCAAAATAAAACAAAACAAAATAGAAGTTTTTTTTGCTTTGAGCTAAAATTAAAATAAATAAATGAGAAGATTTGGTGTTAGGATTTTTTTTTTTTGGCCGGATTGGTGTTAAGTTCCTTTTTATTCCGCCCTGAGAAAAGCTAGATAATTAGTTGTATACATTTACTTGTATGTATTATATGAAGTTTATTTGGTCAAAAAATATCACATGAATTTTGATTTAGATGTGATATATTCCTCCTGACTCTTAAATTGTGCCTGTGTAAATAAATATGATGTTAATGAGATACTATTTCCGGTTCTAATTATAAGAGCTAGTTGATTAATTTGAGGATATAAAGGAAATAAGTTAAGTTAGTTATTTATAATAAATAAGTGTTGTTTTTCCTAAAATATTCTTACTAAGCAAGTATGTTGGCTAAAACTACAATAATTAAAAGGACTGTCTTGAAAGAAAAATGTATAAATATGAGTGACAAAGTGAATTGAGGTCTTATATTTAGAACTAAAATAAAAATCAAACAATATCTTATATTAACAATCAGAGATAGTATTATTTTTATCATAAGGTGAACAATAATCTTTATTCTGGATATTCTGCTTCTGCCTCTCGGGCCAGGGAGGACAATTCAAGGAGAGGATATCCATCGTGTTTGGTTCGGACGGAACCCAGGAAGTTTGATCGAATCTATCAATCTTTTCTTTTTAAGGGAAAAAACTGAGTTGTTTAACATAATTTTAGAAAATGATTTTACACAGGGAAAGCGTGATCCTTTTTTCTTTTTGTCACAAAATGCAATTTTGTTTGGAGAAAAATAAGCTAGCTGGAAACTCAATAACAAGTTTAAAATGATTAAAGTTGCATCGATCGACATACTTATTTTTCTTATCAATCATGAATGAAAATTCTAGTGATCTAATATAATGGTACTTCTTCCTCCGAATACTCAGGCGACGCTGAAGCTTTTTTAGACTTTTATTTTCGCGGTCTAATATAACAAATTGCAAATTTTTAAATCACAAAGTATACCCAATCAAGATAATAAAGCATCTTTTAACCTAAAATTCGACACTGTAGCTTTCTAAAGTGGCAATTTAGATGTTAAAATCCGCATTCCACGAGCAGATGGTGGAAGAAACCATACGAAGAGAGAAAGTAGCACATTTACAACTGACGGAGATCAAAATCTTTACAATAAAAAATTAAAAAGCAGCTTCATACTTTGAGAAAAAGTATGCTCCAAACATCCATACATCCTATGTATTCACATTAGTGCTAACTATATCCCTCCCTGCTTACTACACCTAGCCTCTCTTGTCACAAGTTTTATGCCCCTCACCCAAAGCTCGGCAGTTTCAAAACCCCCATCACACAAAAAATGCACTTCCCTGTTCTTCACAGTAACCACCCTAAATATTCCTGGATCGTCAGCATCACCTCTTCTGTGTCTATTTCTACGAAAAGATAAACTTGGTCCCAACTCTGCCTCACGGCATATCACATTTCTCCGGCTTGACTTACCCCAACAGAGCACTCCCACGGATCCCAACATTTGTATCTTTTTTCCATGAGGAGAACCCTTCCCTCCTTTGGTATACTTTTGCACGAAGGTGCCACCTAGTACTAACTTACGAGCAAGCTCGTTGAGTATGACAGCCTCCGCGTTGTTCTTACCTCCAGTGAATTTTCTTGCAAGTGAAAGTGCAGTTTCACCTCTAGCATTCTTAGTATTACAACGAGCCCCGTGTGAAATTAAGAGCTCACAAATGGAACCATGGCCTTCTCTTGCTGCTAACATGAGTGGTGTGTAGCCTTCCTGGTCAAGAACATTCACGTCATAACCCCTATCAGTGAGCAATTTCACTGCATCCAAGTCGCCACGGCGAGCTGCACAGTGTAAAGCATGGAAGCCAGCATTACGATTGCCCTTTTCAAGTGCAAATTCAAGCATGACCTTTTCAAATAAATCGTGATTATGGTTCAACTCAGATAGGGCAATCGCTGTTTCACCATATTTATTGCATAGCTTTACATCAGCTCCAGCATATACAAGCAACCGGAACGCTTCTACGTGACCCTTCAATGCAGAAACCATAACAGCAGAGAATCCGTTATCATCTTGATAGTCAAGATCGAATCCTCCATAAGCAATTACAGTTTTCAATGCGTCAGTATCCCCAACTTCAGCTGCAAAGTGAAGGGCTAAATACACAGAGATATTGCTGGATGTGGGTATCTTTCCTTTTCTGATTGTATCCAGTAACGCCTGCTGAAAACCAAGTGACCACTGGCTTGACTCGGCAATTGAACTTGCACAATGACCAGAAGTGTTGACTAAGCCGAGATCGGCACCAGCCATTGTGAGTACTTTGAGACAGTTTTCTTGTTTATATTTTGCACAGATCATCAAAGCTGTGTCACCAGCGTCTGTAATAGAGTTCAAATCACAGCCAAAAGCAATAAGGCATTGAACAATTGTTGAAAAGCCAAGACGAGAAGCCATGTGTAACGGACGGAATTCAGTCTTCTGAGTTGTTTTAACTGGGGATTCAACATCTGCACCGCATTCTAAGAGTATTTTCACACCCTCAACATTGCCGCAAAGAATGGCATGGTGTAAAAGGGTTCTTCCACAGTGAGGGTTGTTGAGGAAAACATTCTGCAGGAGCATGTACAGTATAGAACCATTTTTTTCAAAATACTCAACTGCACACCATGTGACAGCATAAGTTTCTCCCAGTCCAGCACCCACACGAATTTCTTCACCCGTTGTGACATCCCATGACCATGCTCCTAGCCTCACTTTGGTGTCTATCCTAGCACCTTTCTGTAGTTCATTTAATGTAAAAAAAAAAAAGCAAAGTCATATAGATTTAATGCCCCCTATTTTAAAAAAATAGATAAATAAACAAACAATTAAAAAAAATTATTGAAGACCATATCATCACGAATTATCATCATGTAACTAAGCATTTATGAATTATCATCATGTACTGTCCAATTGAGCGTGTTTCTCGAATAGAATCTAACCACGTTATTATAATAATGGAAATTTCAGAAGGGGAAAGAAAAGAGAATACCTGCAGTAGCAAAGCGACGACTGGGACCTGCCTATGAATCACAGCAGCAACAAGTGCGGTGCAATCAACATTTGTGTGGAGAGCAGGCTTAACTGACTGCAAAAGTACTCGATCTTCTGCATTGACATCCACACCACGCTGCCATAGAGAAGACAATCTTAAGTTTAGCACATGCAAACAAGCATTTAACAAAAAGTTGAAAGTACCATAAAGACAAATATTACTGAAGTTTCTTAGGAATAGCATGGAAAAAACAGATGGATGTACCATGTTTCTCTCATGAAAGTGTCAATTGGACAAGATATCCAATTTTAGGATCAAGACAATTCATAATATAAGTTTCCTTTCTAGCAAAACAATAGAGAACTAATGAAGCGTTATAGAGAGAATTTATGAAAACAACTGATATAGGCATTTAAGAAGTTTACAAAACCATGAAGAACAGGAAGAAATAACATCTGACCGAAGCAATATCTTCGAGATTATGCAACATTAATCAAACAAAAGAAAGATGCCCATGAGGTCGTCAATGACCTTTGGGTTTTAGGGGAAAAAAAAAAAAAGAACTTCCACCCCACCTCTGAAAGTATGTTTTATGTCATGATAGAAACAAATAAAAAGGGAGACTGAATTCTTGAACTTACAAAAACAACAAGACTCGCCAAATGTAAGCATCGTATTTTATTCTTGTTTTCGTTTATTCCTATTCTTTTTTGAGTTGATGTTAAATTAGAAGTTATGCAATATTGTGATAATAAAGAACTTGGGTACTTGCAAGTGGTATTTATATTCAGCCCTAATTAAGAAAGTAGAAGATAGGTTGAGGCCTAATTGTTCATAAATTTCAAATAAAACTGAAAAAGTAAGCTTGGAGTTTACTGTGTTATTTTTAAATTTTATAGTATATTCACTTTTTAAGTACGAAAAAATTAATTTGCTGATTAAGGTTTTGACCCCCCCTTCCCAGCCCCATTGAGCTCCTACTTGGAAGTCTGAAACTGTCGCTATGATGCCTCCCAAGATGTATACTGCAAACATATACCTTTATGAGAGTATCTACCACATTTACAAACCCCCTGCAGCATGCCCTCACAAGAGCATGTACAGCAACGTGGGGTCGGATTAAATCAGAGCTCATGAGCAATTCAGCAGACTTGGCTTGCCCGTGGCAGCTTGCCTCTAAAAGAGCTTCTTCACAAGCTGGCTGTGATGCCCCAACTTTGAGCAAGATCTCAAGAATATCAACGTGGCCCTCCCTTGCTGCTGCAGTTGTTGCAAAGCCTCTGAAGAGTTTCTGGTTTACATCAGCTCCCATACTCTGTCAATTAAAAAAAAAAAAAAAGTGCATTAAAAATTTTTATATGGAGACAAAAATACCAAGAAAATTTTCTTTCCCTCTGTCCTTTTAGTTATACATTTTCTTCCCATTGCTTTGGATGCTAGGATGAAAAATTACAAGAATGTAAGAAGAAATCAGAAACAATTTCTTTCATTCAGGACGAAAGCCTTGACTCCTTTATCATTTTCCCCTTTTACCTTTTTTATTGAATAGTACTATGTGTGTGCGCGAGCGATGTGATAGCCAAAGCAATAATTGGAAACAAGTAAAATCAAATAGAAGAGACAGAAAGGTTATCAAAAGGGAATGGGTAATGTATTGTAAGTGGTATCATGTACAATGGTTGGGGACAACACATTTTGGGACAGATAAGACGTGCTACAAAAAGGACCAAGAAAAATTGGATGACGCTCATATGTCTTTGGAGCAAAATGGCTAGCCATGCATAATGTAGCCCACAGATTAATTAGCAGCAGCAATAATTTGAAAACCTTAAATATTTAACATAAATTATCCTTGTTGGTTAAATTAAAAAAAGAAAAAAAAAGCTGTGGCTAATATTGAGAGTCCCGTTAGAAACTAAACTCGAAGAATCGAAGGTAATATATTTTAAAATCTACAAGTATATCTCATATAGATACAGGAGAAGTTTTCAAAAATATGACGAGGGAAAATTGACCAAAGTTAACATCTAAAAGAAATGAAGGATTAAAAAGGGGGTGGATGCGTGGGGGACCATCGATGACAAAAGCAGAGCATTTACTAGAGAAAAAAACACCATTAAAATCTGAACAGTTCGAAATTCAAATTGATCGGGCGTCTTTACTCTATTTTCTCAGAAGATCATATGTGCTTTTTTAGTTAAATTTTTCCTTCATAGTCGAATAATTAACTTCGAGAAGAGACTTAAGTCAACACTACCTAAAATTAAAAGAAACATCTGAAACCAGTTTTCGAAGAGAGATTTCAATTGTTGGAGCTTTCTTCAATCCTCCTCCATTTAAAAGAAGACAACCAAAATCCGAGGAGCAGTATAGAGAAGAAGAGGCACTATTGAAACTCTTAATTATCGACAAATGTCACGAGTATCGATTCAAAACCAGAGAAATAAAAAAATCGAAGACACACATTTCGCATAATGTCCACTTAAATTGAGTGTATGAAACATTTTAAAATCAGTACCATAAGTAACATCTCATTGGACAATGTTTTGAGAAGTTATTGACCAGAATGTGAGAAAACAATCAAGTAAGAGAGCGCGAAATGCGTTTTCGAAATGATAAATAACGCCTTGGTGTCAGATAAAACCAGAAATACCAATAGAGCAGCAGAAATTAAATCGATTACAGAGATCTGTGATATCACACAAGAATGAGTCTCCGAACAGTTCATTACCAGTAGCTTCTTCACGAGGCTCGCATTCCCCGTATGAACAGCAAGAAACAAAGCCGTAACGTCGGTCTTGAACTCTTCGAACTCGATGCGAACTTCGCTAGCCGATTCCTCGTGCAGAAAAAGCTCGGCCTTTCTGATCTTCAAGCTCACTGCGCCGACGAAGTTGACGTCCACGAATGGATCGGCAATGCACTCTAAAGCCAAGCTCTGATCCCCGGAGTGACAAGCTTCGAGGAGGCGCTGCGACACCTCCGCCTCGTAGTCAACCGGAAACACCTGCTTGCCGGAAAATACCGTCATTGTCCGGCGAACAGTTAGTGAGCTCGAAGCTTCAGCAGAGTCGCGCCTTCACTACTACCACCTGAGGCGAGGGTTCGCGCGTGCTTTGTACGACTCTCACTTCAGTAAAACGGAATGCTTTGTCGCTCTAGAGAATGGAAGCTCGCCGCTCTAGGGAACAAGCAAAGCACTTAAATAAAAAGGTGAAACAAGCAAGCGCCACGGGGGAAAGAAGCTCGGGAAGGGTCGCTGGTGCAAATACACTGGGATGGTTTAACTTTAATTCTCACAGTTAATTATATAAATATCTGGTAGTTAGACTTAGATCTAACTGAGCCTTTTTTAATTTAAAGTCAAATAATTAGCATAAACAACATGCTTCAATGTGACATTTGCATAATTTAACATGTGTGAGGGGGGGGTATGCTATATAAATTTAGGTGTCATTTCGATATTTGCGTATGTGATGTGTTACGCTTGCATACGACAAATACAGTGTACTGGATATGAGGTGAGTTTGGAACATTAAACTTCGAGGGAGTTAATTTAATTGATGGAATTTAAAAAATAAACAAAGGATTTAGAAGAAGCAAAAGTGGCATATTTTTGTTGAGGCATTTTCCAGAATGGCATGTGGGCTGCCACACAAGGTCGCCTCATGGCCCGACAAAAAACCTTAAATACACAGGTCGAGACCCACGATGCTGACGTGGCTGCCAACAGTTTGGCTTGTTCCTCAGAAATCTCAATCCCCAACGTAAGAGGAAAAGGCTTAGGAACCATCAACCACGCTTCCTTTAATCCTTTCTCTCGTATTTTGATGAGCAGCAATGCGGTCGCAGTAGATCTGTTTTTTTTTCCCCCCCAATTCGCTTTAACTGGGGTTTAATTTTAAAACCAAAATAACGAAGTCAGGGTTCTGAACATTTTAATTGAATTAAAAACTGGATTCAGATATCAATACTTAAAAGCATGCATATTTTATTTGGGACGAGACAAACAGATTCTTCAATGGGGCCATAAAAATTTCAACCATTCTAGAAATTGACGCCGATTATACGAAGTTGACACTTAAAATAACATAAAAATGAGATACAGTACCAGAGATCAAAGAAGAAGATCTCCCAGCTACAGCAGCAGCAGCAAAACCAAGCAGTGGCGTGGCGTGTTTAATTTGGAGGTTGCACTGCCATGCATGCGTTTCTTTGAAGCCAGCCCTGAACTAGTAGTTAAAACAATGTTAGATTTTGTTATAAATATAAGATATTAATTTATCTTACTCGTCGTGTTATTATTTTTCTCAAATTAATTTACCTAACTTGCAAACTTATACATAATACTCTATTCGGTTTTTATTATAAATTTTAAATAATTAATTCATGAATAACAAATAATTAGTTATAATTAAATAAAAACAATAAATAGGTTAAAAATAGAGTTTTGTTTTCAAATATGCTCTTATAATATATAAGAAAAAGAATGAAAGAGAATGTGTGGGAAAATGTGATATAAGAAAAATAAGTAAATGTAACATTAGAAAAAATGCATTAAATGTCAAGGAAACACAAGGTGAAGTTTGTAAAATGGATCGTATCTCTTCCCAAATTTAAAGCTTATATATAGAACCGAAAGAATATAATATTATGAATGATATTTTAGAAAAACTCATATGGCATATCTTAACCAATCTAAATCAATTAAATATCTCTTATATTGAACATGGAGGGAGTGTGTATATATATATATATACACACACACTTTGAAAGTAATTAGGTGAGTGGGTGCGACCAAGTGGGTTTAAAATGTAACCAGTTTGTTTATAAGTGGAGATGCCAGTAATAAGATTATGCACTCAGCTTGCCAAACGTTAAAGTCAACCTGGTTGGGGAACGTATATGGGACCCTATCAACCATTACCTCTTCCTGTCTTCCACGACAGAGACACCATTGATGCCCCGCCCTCCCTCGCTTCCCTCCCTTTCCTTCCCTTTCACAACAATCTCTCTTCATTCTCTCTTTATGCTTTGAATTTCTTAAACTACCAACTAACCCCATAATATTCCACCACCCTCCCGCTTTTTCGTGTTCTCACTTTTCCCCGATTAAATTTGAATTCAGTTTAACCAACCGTGATTGAGTTGAATATATAGAATGGGTTCAATTCTCTTCGAATCTCGTGAATAAAGATCATGCATATTCAATAATTCATATCTGAGTTTGATAATATTTGGATTTGACTGTGGATGGTGGCATGGTATATGTAAAATACTACTACCTCCGGTCCTAATTATAAGAGCTAATTGATTAATTTGAGGAGATTAAAAAAGAAGTTAAGTCAGTTATTTGTTATAAATAAATGTTATCTTTTCTAAAATTTCCTAAAATACATAAATATTAGAGACAAAGTAGATTGTGATCTTATATTTATGACTAAAATAAAGTCAAACAAGATCTTATACTCCTCCGTCCTTAATATAAGACCCATTTAACTAATTTGATTAGATTAAGGAAGTTAGGTAAGTTAGTTAATTATAAGAAAAGTGACACATTTTTCTTAAAACACCATAATCATCTTTCTTAATACCTCATCTCCCTCTTCTACTTAATTATGGCTGAGGGAGTATCCATAGGGGTAATTTAGAGAAAATTGATAAATATAAGAAATAGCTCTTATATTTAGGACTAAAACCAACTCAAGAATTATGTCATATATTAAAGACCGGAGGAGTATTAAGAACTAGAAGTAGTATTTGAAATCACTACCCAAACGAGGTTCGCGCTCATCTCTCATGTTCTCTCTGATTCATGCATATTAATGGGGGAAAAACAATTTTTTTAAATCTCACAAAAAAAATTAACCTACATTCTTTAATATTGTTATTGCTCACAACTAATGCCTGTGAGCATCTTCCTTGCATATTAATGAAAAAATATATATATTTCCTAAAGTTACAAAATTTCCTGCATTTAAGTCCGACAAAAGCTTACAAAAAAATGTCCGACATAATAGAGCAGAGGAATCCACATCAAACATGGACCCGTACTCCCAAACTTTGTTATTGTGATCATGTTTAATTTAAGGCGTAAGCATGATTACAAGATGATGGATTACTAGGCGACCCAATTTTCAAAACCACGCATCATTATATTGTGCCACCACTTTCCAAGGTCACCCTGACGTTTGTTTATTATCTTTCACATTTACTCACGCGTCTGCTTATGATCCACTAATATGTTTGTTTGTGATAATTTAATTTAAAGCGAGATCGAAGCTAATCATTCGTCCTTAATGAGTACGAGAGTGGTATGCAAAATTTATTATCTATCTGGCAAGACTTGTCCAGAGAAGAATTTAAACGGTGCTTAACTACCTCGTTTGTCAGAAAGTTAAGCAACCATCATGGTGTCTCGTTTTTGCCTTTGTCTAGCTAATTTAATTTCAGGCTGGAGGATAGTAAATCTTCTGGGATATCCAATATGATTATATTGTTTTCCCACCAACTAAATGATTCCTCGTATCGTGCCACGCCACTTTCTTTGTCAAAATTATGAACAAAGAGCAAGCAATGCGCATGAACACGAGGGCTTTTGGAGGATGGCGTGGACATAGCTGCTCTTCAAGCTTGACTTGAATTCACGCCTTTGTTTGGTTGTTTCAGGATTAACAATGCACACAGACACTGAATTACTAACGTGTGTGAAATAATATTGACCGTTTAGATGATAGTAGTCATTAAAGAAGGGCAACACTGATGAGTAGTAACGTAGGCTATGCGTGACGCGCACCCACCATATTTTATTTAATTTTTAATTATTTTTTTTATTTTTAACCAAAAAAAAAGATGAAATCATTATTTTTTTAAAAATATTTGACTGAAAGCACTACATAAATGATGTGGATTTTTTTTAAAAATTTTTTTGGATGAAATATGACATGTAACAATATAATTATAATAACTAATAAAATATATATGTGTGTATGTATACGGGGTTGGGGGCTTAAAAGGGCCATCGCTACAAAGAGGGCTGAATTTAATTTTAAATAATCAGAACCTGTTAATTTATACTGCGCAATCTATATTATCAACTCTAACAACATTTGATTCCAGATTTTTTTTTTTGGAAACAACATGGAGGAATGCGTACAAAAGTTTTGAGATGGTTGGATAAAAATAAAAATACAATTTTAAAAATAATTTTATAGAATTTGAGATAAGCATGTGATAAAAATGTTGTCCTGATTTATGTAAAATCATATTTTAAAAGTATTTGTGGGACTTCTCAAACACTCCATAGGGTGCTGGACGATGGCAAGAGATATTTCTGTAAATACAACACTAAACGTTCGTGGAAGTTATTACTCATATTTGACGACAAACGAATGTTTAAACATTTTTTACTGGAAAAAGAAAGAAAAAATGACAAAAAACAACTGAAAATTTGTAAATGTTAATGAAAATTTATGATCATTTACAAATTTAGTGTTATCAGCACTAAATAAAATATTGTTACCAAACCTAATTGGAGATTTATCAATTTTCAGTTTTTTTTTGTCATTGTCCCAAAAAGAAAAGGTTGTGAGAGAAAAATTAGCATTTATTAATGAAATCGCGGACCCCAAAATATCCTTGTCACGAGAAAGAAAACTTCTCTTTCGTTAAATTACGATTTTCAATGGTTGGCTCTGTCCCCGGCGAAAACAAAGGTTAGCTATGTCTGAAAAATTAAACTTTATTACGTGGATGAAATTATCTTGCAAGATTGGCCATTTAATTTTTTTGTTTCAACAAAGCTTCTTGCTTCCTCTATATACGCATGCTTACAAAACACTACCCAAAATTTTCTGTAAAAGAAAAAATGCTACCTTCTGTTTTTAATACAAATAAAAATTCAATTTGATTCTAAATATAAAACTTTAATTCATAATATTTATTTATTTTACCTGCAAATAATTTTTATGATAATTATATATGTTAAGAATTTTTTTTATTAATGAGTAGTTATATGACAGCATCTAATGTGACCTCTAGCGATGATTAAAAAACATTAAACAACATCCTTACATTCATATATTAATTTTGAAGAACTAGCGGATTTACATATGCGTTTTGGT